TTAGTTAGCATAAATCAGTTAAATGACGAAAATTAGGTGTATATTTATTTGTGACCACTCAGTGTAGTGTTGGGTTTTGGCTTGTTAATGGAACCAATAACTTTGTGAACTGCTTGACAATCTAATGCACTCTCAAGAAAACTGTTTGTTTGTTTTCAATTTCAGGTGCAAAGCTACACGAAGGCTATCTGTGCTAGCCGTCCCTAATTTAGTAGTGTAAGACTAGAGTGAAGGCAGCTAGTCATCACCACCCACCGTCAACTCTTTTACCAATGAATAGTGAGATTGACCATAACATTATAACGCCACCACGGCTGAAAGGTCGAGCATGTTTGGTAGGACTGGGATTCGAATCCGCGACCTGCAGATTGCGAGTCGAGCTCCCTAACCACCTGAGAACAGTGGTTCAATAGACCTCAGCCTAACGTGTTTACACATATATAAAGTAACTTCACCAAAGTGAAATTTTTTGTTCGTGTGTCTGCCCTGCCAACAGATGGCGAGTGATAATGGTCGATAAACGATGACAATCCAATTTAATTCTTAGGCGAGGGGTCCCACCACTTACACAAACAGCCCAATGCAGCAGGCTTAAACATGGGGTCCGCAGGGAAAACTGCATTTCTCTGATAAAATTTCTGTGGACTCCCATGGAAGTAAGCATTATAAATGTGTATATAAGCTCCAGTTTGTTGTAAAGTATACTTGTATTTCCTATTTTTAGTTTACTTGTATTATTTTTCTTGCATTTTGACGTTTGGTGCTTAAATTTGATTTTATACCTTGTCTATAGCATGTAACTGGCCAACATTGTATTTTATTATATATTTTTTATTTTGATTCTGTTTTACAATTTTTTTCTGAGTTTTATCTTTTTTTGAAGTTTTTAACTTGTCCTTTGTTGCTTTCATGTAGGAGTCACAAGAGTCAACTGAAGTAAACAATCACATCATTTTGCGACCTATAAGTGATTCTCAAATTCAAACTTGAAAGCTTAAATTTCGGGGTGGGATGCCCCTAAGAACGGGGAGATTGTATTGACAGAAACAGTAGCGAACTTTGCCCTTCTATAACTAGTTTACACTACATCTTTAGCCAGATGTAATCAGGTAGTTTTCTAAATTTTCCTGCTGAAGCTTAGCATGTCATTCTTGTTAAACAAATATTAAAAAAACATAAATATATAATAATCCTTTGGTCCTGTATCTGAAACCTCTCTTAGGAGAGTCCACCTCCAGGGGTGGTAGAGATACCTTTTTAAAATTGTTGAGATAGAGGTATTTCTCTCATATAAATGTTGTTTGGAACAATCACTGACGTATTAAGTGTTTGGTTAAGGTATATTATACTTTTAATATTTTATCATAATTAATAAATTCAAATTATCCGTCATCTTAGTTCTTTGCAAGCATAAAATAATTTTGTCTTTGTTGGATACGGACGTTTCAAAAAAAGCCTTTCTTCTTACCAGAAGGAAGTTAAAGTCACTACATAATTAGAAGGAAGTAGGTCAAATAACCCCATACTCTTTTTAATATTAATAAAGATCTGGTTTATTTGTTCACCAGTCTATTTCTTTCGTTAACTGTTTGAGTTTGATTCATTCTCTGCATATAAAATTTGTGGAATCTGTGTTTTGTGGTTTGTTATGAATTTCGCACAAAGCTACACCTGGGCTATCTACGCTAGCCATCCCTAATTTAGCAGTGTAAGACTAGAGGGAAGGCAGCTAGTCATCACCACCCACCACCAACTCTTTTACCAATGAATAGTGGGATTAACCATAACTTTATAATGCCCCCATGGCTGAAAGGGCGAGCATGTTTGGTGGGACGGGATTCAAACCCGCAAATTGCAAGTCAAGCACCCTAATCACCTGGCCATGCCAGGCTCTGTGTTTTGTGAATACTTGTAAAAGCTTATCTATGAAAATATACTATACAATGAGAATTTTCAAAAGAAACTGATATCACTCAAACCATTGTGCCATTTCATACTGACCATCTAGTCCTAAACCTAAAAAATGTATGCCAAAATTTGTCTCTAAATTTAAAATACACTTTTAACAGTTTGTCATAGGAAGACGAAAAAAAAAGGGCAATACACTAAATCTGTGTAAACTGGTCTAGTATTTTTATTTCCACAGAAAAACCAAATCCAAACTTTACATGTAGGTATGTACACAGTTCATTATAAGATGAGGAAAAGTATGTATAAAATAAATTTATATATATTAAATATCAGTGATGCAAAATACTATATTAAAGTGGGAAATAATTCTGAAAACGGATCTTCCCAAGATGACTCATCTAGAAGACTACCCAATCCAGAGGAGTCAGTGTCACTTAAAGGTGAAGGTAATGAAAAGCCAGAGTCATATCCAGAATCACTTCTAGATGGAGACATTTTTGTTTTCATGGAATCTAAAATATCTGAATGACAAACAGGCGAACACACTGGAAAAATATAATCTTCAGAATTATCTGCAGGAGCTTGATCAACTACAATTTCTGAAAGGTCATCAAAAGCAATGTCTATAGTTTCAGAAGTTAAAACGTTCTGTTTTGTCAGGTCTTGATCAGTTGTGTCCTCTGAAATCATTGGAATGGGCTCATCAGTGGAAGTAAAAACACTTGCATTACCTTCAGGAGAATTCGCAGCCAATGTGTCAGTGCTGGACTTCTTGTAGTACACATGATCAAATCTGATCAGTTCTTTGATGGATTCCAACTCTTCTGCTGTGGGCCCCACCACTTGATTACTGGCATATTCGCTTTTTCCATTCTAGAGCATAAAAAGTGATACTTACTTTGAGTATATTATGCAAAATGCACTACTGAAACATCAATGTAATTAAGGCACATTTTATGCTGTGCAGTGGCAAAATAAACAAAAATTATATTATATTCCATAAAAATAAACATATAATTCAGGTCATTCTGTAATATAAATTTTCAGACCTAAGAATAAACCACTGCCAAATTTATATAAGCTGAGTTATACAAGAAATTGACATGGAAAGTAATTTACTGTTAATTCCTGGTGTTTTAAAGAAGTTTCCAACAGGAAGACAAATATTAAAATAAAACATCTACTAAATTTTGAGTAAGGTAGCAGTGGGTTTCTCTTACAATTAAGTAATTCATTGTACAATTCAATTCATTTATTATCTAAACTCAGCATAGTTGCTTTGCAGCCATATATAAAGTGGTGTTTATTTAAATTGAAATGGCAAATCAAAAAATTTAAAAACAATTCATACTTAGTTCAAAAGTATGTACTTTTTTTAATCATAAAGTTATTAGTTCATACGTTTCTCTAAACTTCTTTGGCTACAAGCCTGAAATAATCAATACAATAAATAAATTTTAATTTCTTTCTTTGAGTTTATAAACATCTGTGAGGTTCATCTTGAAAAGCTTATTAAAACATACCCGCACACTGTCGGAGTTGGATGAAACAGAATCTTCCGATTCTGAAGTACTCTGGAGTAACTCTTCACTGTACTGCTGAAGCAGGTCAAGGAGGTCATCAGACTGGACAAGGTAAAACAGTATTATGATAAGCAGCATCATGATCAAGTTTTAAAAACAAATTTAACATTTTTATGTAACATTGCTCAGAGGATAATTTGTATAAAAATAATCAACTACTTTACAAATGTTCCTAACTCTGAATTTTTATTAGTACCAAATAACTTGTGTATTTTTTTTTAAATGATAAGAATTAGAAAAAGATTTTTATAAAATTCTCAGATTCTGCTAACTAGGATTTTCTAGACACCAAAGAGGTTGCAAAAAAGTCTAATTACATTTTTAAGATGGTGCAATTATATGAAAATAATGTCACATTCCACTGCTTCTTTAAAAGATAAAACTACATATTAAATCATATCAACTAAAACAGTAAGATACCCAAGTTGAAAGAAACAAATAAAAAAGGCAAAGTACTAACCTCATCATTACTTGCAAGAAGACGTATTGCATCATCAAGAGAACAAGAACTGGTAGATCTTGTTCCTTCTGCAGAGGTCCATTAATAAGCGATGCTTGCTTAAAAGATCTACTAAAGTCTTTCTCTCTGTTGATGCTGTTCTTCATCTGGTAAAATGAAATTATTAAATGTACCTTCTCAAATGACATTCACCATACATACTACTAGATATTATTTTATCAAGTAACTTTAGAAACTTTGCCCATTACCTATGAACACAGGTGACTATTCTATTTATTCAAATCCCTGGTATAGAGATATTACAGTTTTCATTAACCCTATAAACATCTCCTGTAAGACTTATATTAGGGTACAATTTGTGTATGTCCACATGCACACATCTGTCAATTTTAGTGTATACATTTTCATCATTATAATGAAATTGCAGTAATTAAAAAAACTACTTTTTATTACTTGTATGATTCTGTATACATTGTAAGTGTATAACTTCTTATGAATGATTGTTGTACAATATACAGTTGCTTAGAGCATTTGTGTTTCTTTTCAGAATCTGGCATTATTGTCAGAAAACAAAACATTAAAACAGAAATTGATGCTTCTAGAAAATGAAAACTCTGACCTGAGATCAAGACTGGGTCTGAAAAAAATAAAAGTAGAACAGGAAGATGAGGTAGACTATTCCTTATATTAAATATTAATCTTTACTTTAATCTTTCTTTGTTTATATATATATATATATATATAATGTAATATTTACTTTAGTGCATTTCATTTTAAACCCCACTGCATATCATTACAAAATAAAACAGTACAGGTGAAGGAAACTCCATATTGAAGTTATGCAAAATCCCAATTCTTAAGTTAATATTAAGCACACATTATTTAAAGAAAGTTAGGAAATTCAGCTTCTTTACCCATTAATTTTATTTAATGTGGTGATCTAAAAGTCTATCTTTTTCAATAAAAATATTGTACTATCCTACCTCTTTCTCTAAAACTTTGACACTTATTTCTAGCTCATCCAGCCTTGCTTTCTTCCTGTCTCTGGCAGACTGAGCTGCAACTCTATTTTTCAATTTTCTGAAACAACAACAAAAAAGAAAATGTGTGTATATATATATATATTATGCTAGCAAAAGTAAAATGTTAATTTAGCAGTTTTGTTATTACAACCTGTTTATAAATTTTTCAGGTAATATGATTACAATCTAGTAAATAACAGTAGCATCAACCTCTTATACAGGTTACCACAAATTATAAGAATGCTATGCTACTTTTCAAACTGATAATATTATGATCATGTCTTTTTTTATGTACACCTGGCATCACTAGCACTTTCTCTGAAGACACACTAAGGTTATCAAAATACTGTGACACAAAATATATTGTCAGTGATTTACAAGAATGATAAAATATTTCTTCAAAACTATCTTTTAAACCTTTAAAAAACATTGAAAAATGCTACCTAAAAATTATTGACAAAATATTTAGTTTAATATGGCTTTATTTACATCACAACTAATAATAAATTCAACATGTTTTTTGACTTTGAAATAAGTAAACAGCACTCAAATTGCTGACACAAGCTATAGAAATTAGAGGCAAATGAAATTAAAAAATTAATCAAGTGCAAAACATTTCATATCCTAAATAGTGTGCATTTCGGTATATACATGTTGTACACATTTTATTACAGTACAATAATTTCCTCTATACATTTATATAAACTAATACAGTATACCACAAAAAACATATTTAATTCTAAAAGTAAAAACTTAATGAACAGCCAGGAAAAACAAACATAGCATTTAATCAGTTACCAAAATGATTACCCACACAAATCTTAACATAATGGCCTTTGAGAATATTTATTTAGACTGAAATTATCTTTATAATGACTATCATAAAATAACTTTTAATTACAATTATGTTTTTACCATTATAAACAACATCCAACTAAGCACATCTTCCTAATGTGGGATGGAAAAATATTACATAAAGAAAACAAATCAAATCACTTCTAGTTGCCATGTAAACAAACTAAAAGGTTCCAAACTCCAAAACACTTTTGTAAAAATAGGTTTTCACACAGTAATAATAAGTTTTACTGACAATGAGAAAGAAAGTATGGAACTCTTTGGTGGTATCACTTGTAATAGTCTCAGTAAACTACGTGAAAAATAATCAAATTAAATAGTTTTTATGCATTAGCTATTTAAATGGATTACTCTGCAGAACTCTGAATAAATGTAGCACAAGATGTACACAATTCACAAATGGGTGTGATCTCGCAATATAGAAAAAATTTAAAGACCTCATTGTGTAATAAATAAGGTATACACTCTGCTACTATCGTATTACAATACAACCAATCTACTTAAGTCTAGATAAGAGCAAAAATATAGATTATATAATCTTACCTTCTCATGATTTTTTGTTCCAAACTAAGATGGTCAAGACGTTCTCGTTTCCTTACACCCATAGCTGATCGACTGCTTTCCTCAACGTTTTGTCTTAATACATCTGCTTTCAAAGCTTTCTCGCTTTTCAAAATAGACATTCCACTTCTAGGAAGAGTGGTAACGCTAGAGCAGAAGCCTAACGAATTTAGCTTATCAATATCGGGATGATTTGTTACGTGGGAAGAAGACTTTTTTAATACTTCTGAGCCGATGTGGCTGGTAGCATTTGTTATTACAATGGCCATGTTTGACGATGTCGATGATAATATGTAACTTAAGCTTAATTACTTTGGCTAGCGTAAATAAATCAAATCTAGGAAAAGCAGGATATGGATGATGATGATAAACGATATAATACAACTACAAGTACAACGTAATACAAGTTATATTGTCGTTCTGGCGATGGTAATATGAATATAATTATAACGACTGTAATATTAGTACTATAAGTATAACAAGAAAATACTGATTAGAAAAATTTAACATTATTAACCAACATCATATCTTATACTTCCTAATTTTTTACCATTATCATTACACAATGATACCAGCTACTTAAGCTTACCATCAACTAAATTAGAACATTCTATGAAAATAGTTGTGGACGTGTCAACGATTACCACTTGCCAACATTTAATTGGTTGGTGCATTGACGTCATTAATACACATACACTCCATTTCTGTGACGGTTTCCAATGAGCAAGGATGATGAAACAACTTATTTCGAGGTTTATAGCAACAATTTCAGGTTGATGAAGTGTTTCTACTTATACTGAGTTTTCAGGTATTATATAAAATTTTGAAAATTGGGGCCGATCTTTTCCTTAGTACTGAACATTGCTTTTCCACCGAACGATCTCCTAAATAAATAATCTCGAATTATAAACCATTTGTAGACAAACAGTTTCTGTAAAATCACTTTTTTTTTTGTACTGACCTCAGAGTGCCACTATTTTCGGTCTCTGTGTTTGACGTTAACAAGCGCGCAAAAAATATAACTTTCATAATCAGCAAAATAACAAACAAGGCTGGAAGTATCTTAGTTTTTCACATCAGTATTAAAACAAATAACGAAATTTACACAACTAGTAGGTTAGACACAATATGTAATCTTTTAAGTTATCTTTTGGGTCTAAAACATATATGTTAATAGCCTGTGAATACTAAACATGCATAATATTGTTACGTCTCCGTTCGTTAGTTAATTTTCCGTAAATTCGTTCCGACGAAACTTTAGCGACACAAGTCCTTTCTTAAATAAAACTGGTTTTTCTTTCTGAATACAACTTTACCGATACACTTAATTTCAACAGTCGCTCTATAGCAAACGCTATAACGTCTCACGTGCTCGACAATACTCAGTTCAATTACACACTCTCTGACTGCAGTTCAATTACTCATTCACTTCGTCACGTTGTGACCATCTTATATATACCTGACAACCCCCAATGTAATAGTCTCCCGATAATTCACGAAGGTTCGAGAGAAGGACGTGACGTGATACCAGTCACGTGACCTCGCTGACGCAACAATATTATATTTTACGCACTGGCCAAATATAACAGTAAAGAAAGCAAATTAAGCTTTAGAACAACTGAATTAAATAATATACTTAAACAACGAAAAGTAGATAAAATTGCTTTCTACACCCTTACTAAATGGATTTCTTTTGTAACGTTAGTCAGTTGTATTTTGTTCTAAGACCGAAACTTTGCAAAATAAACCCATTTAGTACGAGTGTAGAAGCATTTTTATCTACTTCCTTTCGTTTATTAATTCTATTAAAGAATTCCTCTCTTAAAAAAAGCACTATTTTGATTGATACTGAATTAACATCCGGGTGCGCTCGATACTAATAATACACTAGAGTTCTCACGTATAAAACGCACGATATGCCAGTATACCACAGTGACACTTAAGTCATAACCAATAGTAATTGCGTTAAATTGAGAACAATAATGCAGAAGGTTGTCTTTCTTTTAGTATTTCAGTTCACTTACAAGCTTCAGCTGTTGCTGTTAAGTTTTAAGACAAAACCTAAGTAATAAGTTATATTTAATACTTTATATGACTTTTCCCTTATATAAATATATATATATATTATTTATAGAAATGGCTAATGGTGATGTAAGTGGGGAATTACAGATCAAAATCAAGAAAAACATCTGTATGTCAGAAGAACAGAAGATTTTGGACCCAGAATTATTGGACTTGTTAGAGGAAGCAGCCCTTAAAAACAGTTATTGCCAGTCTAGTTCACAGGCTGTACTGCAGCAAAGATTTGTCTTGTAAGAAGGGGAAGTGTGAGCTGTTGAAACACAATAAAAATGGCAATCATATCGAGAATGAGAAGTTACCTTAGTTAAAACTAAACTAATATGTCAGCACTTGTCAGAAAAATCAGTAGCAGACCGAGTGGGTTTTGTTGAAGTTCAGCTAGTAGCTGACATGCCACATTCTTTGTCTGATCATTTACTATGTCTTCTAAAATCCTTTCCTGGTCCACATCTGATGAGTTACGTGAGGCTTGGAAACTAGAAAGCTGCAAATGTTGCTTGACAAGGCCTTGGACAATATTTTAACGCCTTATTCATGGGTGATCTTAAATCCATTAAATATGCGATACTGTTCTATGAAACTAAAGATACTTCTACTGCCAGTTGTGTGGGATTTGTTGATAAGAACGAAAAATGTAATAGTATTGATAAAATTGGATGCAAACAGAATCTTCTGAAAAATTGTGCGAATCTCTTGTAAAACTTAAAAGTGGTAGTGTATTATGAAAAAACTGTGTGTGCTTCTGTTTATATATACAATGAACTACGTTTGGAGTAAAGCACTCCGTCAAAACATTGATTCAAGGCAAATTTCCATAGGTAGTGAATATGAAATACAACTGTTACTTACGCCATCTACGTGTCTCATATACGTGCAAGAAGCTCTTTAAAAGCCTAGAAGGTTTGTGTAGGGCTGTTTATAATCACTTCAGTCCAAGTCCTAAGAGGCAGTATGTATTCAAGGAGTTCTCAGGATTTACTGAATTTGGAAAAAACAAGTTTCTCTCAGCTACCTAAACCATATGGCTATCCTTGCGGAATTGTTTAAAGAGAATTATCGAACAGTGAAATCTGCTAAGATTTTATTGGACTAGTCTGGCTGGCGAGAAGAGGTGTAGTGGGGCGGGAACGAGTGGGCACGGCGTACCTATACTTATTTTAGTTGGAACGCCACTATTTCAACCGAATCCCATCTTACAGGGTCAAACGCATTCGGGCACTCTATTTATTTAGCACTACACCACTGTTGTCGAGGGTTCATACCATACTAACAATCTAGTGTCAATAACCTGTACGATAAAGCTATCAGACATTTCGTGGACTATGCTCTTGGCGAGTTTAATGAATTCGATACTATTTTACAGTCTTAAAAAACTCTTTCATAAGTTTCGTTTTGAAGTCGAGAAACTAATCAAAACCTTTACTCGGGATTTTATGAAGTCTTCAAATGTACGAACCAGAAAAGTAACCAAAACAGATGTGAATTATCTCGTGTACTATGTATCTATTGAATCAGTTTATATTCGATACTCTGCTGAGGAGATGATGGTTGAAGTGAAAAAAATATGACTCAAATTTTGATAAACGAAACAGTGTAGATCACATCAAGAAAGTTGTCACTTAGCAACTTATGCACATTCCTTTCAAATGTGACATTTCTGTTTCTGCTGAGGTGGTTAATTCCAGTTGGTCCTTCGATCTCGAGGTCAAAAGATAACTTTTTTTAAGCTTTAGTAAAAAAAAAACACGTGGCTCAGCAGTAAGTTTAAAGGCTTATAACATTAAAAAGCTGGTTTCGATACCTGTGTTAGGCACAGCACGGATAGCCTCAAGAAAATTAGGAGTGAACGAATATAGCCACCCTCCAGCTGCCTTGTCTAATAAGCATTAATACCACAGATACCCTAGACCTCTGGCATTGGGTAGTTGGCCAAGAAACTGCAGCAGGCCTCCACCGATTTGCAATTTTACTGAGCTTATTATTTTTCTTTCTTTTCCATTTTCAAATGCTGTTATTGAACAACTTTTTTTCGATACTCAAAGGTATCAAGACTGTAAAGCGAAGTAGGTTACCAGCCCTTACCGCAGCTGGAACTTTCGTGCACGATATAGACTGGGAAGAACAGGAAAAAGGTTTCTAGCAGCGATCTAACTGTACACTGAATACCGCTTAGCGGACGCTGTATCGAAGCCGCGTGTCTGCCATCTTGCCACATTCAGCGCCACCCCACACACTGATTAGATAGTGTTGGATTAATGCTTTATAATTATTTATTTATTTTTAATCCACATAACAAAATTTGAAATAAAGGAACAGCCGACATTAGTTCACGTAATTGAATTAACAAAAAGTGTAGTTAGAATTAACAAAAAAAAAAAACACCCCCGTTAGATTATGTTACAGAGAACGTTAGATGCTTAAAGTAAGTCAGAAATAGATAATAATTTGCCAAAGAAAACGGTGTGAAATTTTTACATTTTTTTGATAGAAATACAAAAGAACTGCTACTCCAAATTCTTACAAGAAAAAATAAATATTCATTCAGTTGTATCAATCTCGTCAATGCTGAATCAAGATATAAATCATTGGTACAAATTCAGAGCAACATTAACTAATCAATCACGTTTAAATGTATTAGCAAAATGTGATGCATAAAAACCTTTCATGCAAACGTAAGTAACATTTATGTATAACCTTATCACTATTTTTTCACATGTTAATAAAAACAAATAATAATCAAACAGCAAAGTTGACAACTTTAACATACATCACCTGAAGAAGGGTTTAAGCCCGAAACGTTGTGTCAGATCAAAGTTTTCCTACATTTTATTACCACTGTTTTTAGTGTTTGTTTGGAATTAAGCACAAAGCTACACAATGGGCTATCTGTACTCTGCCCACCACGAGTATCGAAACCCGGTTTCTAGCGTTGTAAGTCTGCAGACATACCGCTGTGCCACTGGGGGGCTATTACCATTGTATCTAGTGACTTTTTTCCTTCTTATACTTGGTCTTGCATCTTCTGTGCGGGTTTTATATATAACGTTTGTATCTGTCTACATTACTGGCATATTTATAGCCTACTGTATTACTATTATGGTTAAGGTTTAGCGTTAGAAAGAGGAAATCCTTTAATAATTATAAAAATCTTTTGAGTTGACAGATTAACTATTTTTGCGATTGGTGTAACAACGTACTGATAGATGAAAACATCTAACTAAGTTACAAATGAAATCTCTAAAGTAATCATAAAAAACAAATCTTATTTTAACACCAACACATTTTAAAGTAATACTGCATATGCATAGTAATATTGCATAAATAAAGACCTATATAAATAACATTGTGTGTAGATAATGAAGTTCTGAGTCAATATAATCGCATTTAATTATTAAAAACAATAATGATGTTTAAACAAATGTTTGTCAAATGCCTTTCTGACCAGCTTAACAGTAGCGGCGTCTGTGAATGACCTGGTCAAGTGATGAAGGCTATTTTTGGAGAAGCACAAAGATATGTACTTTATCAAAGCAAAGATAATATTGCTAACGGGCTCTGAGTCCACCATGTGTTGGAGTAAGTCGTTGAAGGTGGCGTATGCAAACTCTGCTAGAACTGTGTGCGTTATGAAAGATTAGATTCTAGGTCCCAGGGGCAGACCTAAGCCTGTTGAAATCAACGGATGTTGGAAACTTTTTCCTTAGCTTTACAAACATTGATAATACTTTGCAAGGGTTTGGCAAGTTCACCTTTGTTTTTGATACAAATGAGTGTGTGCCCTGGCTCATAAGCTCTTCACTCAACTGCTGTCAGCACTGCTTGGCACCCAGTACAGTGGATTCTATTGTTACTCATTAAAACCACAAATCCAGCAGAGCAACTAGCCTGTTGAGCAATAGGACAAGAATATTCAAAATAGCATCTAAGTTATCATCTGATTTATTAGCAGACAGTAAAGTTGGAATTGTCTCCCACTGCAACTTTCAATGATTTAATTGTTTGTGCTGCCTGTAATATCTTTCCCATGTCCAGCAGGATAGTTTCTGGTGTATGTTTGGATTATTACTAAAACCATCTGATGACCTAACACAATCATAAAAAATATTAAATATAATTTCTCATGATACTCCGTTTCCTATCACACGCACATCCCCTTGTGTGATTACATTTCAACTGTAAGTTGTTTGTAATACAATCGTTTGTTTACACAAAGCTGTCCAGTTATGATAAATGGCATTAATGAGTCTGAGGAAAAGATGAGACTGCAAAGTCAAGAACACCTTGATAAACTGCAACAAAACTAGGGCCTACATCATGGTAACAACCTCAGATCAGCTCACATGGCATGGAAGTTCCAGAAGCTGAAGTTTAATCTTGCTGCCAATACACTGATTTCAAGTGTTGCTAATGCTCTTCTCTTCTTTTGGTAAGAATTACAGCTGGAAGAGTTTGGTGACAGTGAACCTACCTACAGGTTTATTGAACTTTTTGATAAGCTGTTTCACATACTGATTTCAAGGAACTCTCTGGCTTGCAGCTACAAGTTACAATGAAGCCTGCCAACGAGAGCTCTATGATGCTATTTTTATATGAAGCCAAACTACTATGTAATAACACTGAAGGGCCCAAGTGAAAAGTTAATCACCAGCATTACTAGTAAAAGTCTTTATTGGCTTTATTGTAAACATCAACAACATCAAGGCCCTCTATGAAAAATATGTGAAGCTAGATGCTTAGTAAGAAGACTCAAATGGAAAAATTTGGTTTTTGTTCCATATCAAAATATTAACATTAATTTTCAGGTTTCAACATCTTTATTTAAATCACTTATTACTTAAATAATACAAGACAATCTTTATGTAAAGCTGTGTAGTATTAAACTAAAGCTGTAGTTTAAATTAACATGATAACATCTTAAAAATCACAAGTTTTGCTTTGGATACCATTTAGATTTTTTTTATTTTACAGAATATAATAAGCTTTTAATGTATTGTAAATTATATACATTTGAATTTTATTTAATATCACTTATAGCTCAGTCTCTTTTTCATTTTGCTTCATTTTTAACAATGACAGAGGGTTTACATGTACATGTATTTTGTGCAGAATTTATTTAAATGTAAAACCTAGCATTCACAGATAAATAACAATCATGCATAACTATGTACATAGAATTTTATTCAACATAACTTGGCATATGTTACAAAAACTTAATTTTTTTATCCTAGTTCAAAACTAGAATAAACATTTAAATAAAGTAACTAAAAATTCAAAGACTTTAAGTTCATACATCATTCACACAATAAACAAATGTTATGACACATCTGACAGCATTGTCCTACTCCACATAATCCAATTCTTCTGGAATACTGAACTGTTTATTAAGAACAGATTCTTCAATAGAAAATTTTTTTTTGCACCAAGACTTGATGGAGAAAACATTATCTGAAAGTCAAAAGAAGTTTGATTTTGAAACTGTGGAAAGCTCAAAACAAGTATAAGTGTTTATGCAACCAATACTAAGATGATTACATTTTTAAAAGTGTGGTCAAATACAGAATATTTTTGCTTATGTACACAAATTCTTTACCGCATAGATGCTGAAAGTAAAAGTTACCTGGTTAAAATTACTGTTACATGAGAAACTTCTCTATTTTTTAAAATGAATCACACTAAAAGTACTCCAATTTCATTTACCTATAAATCCTTCACTATTATTCTCCAATTATTCATTCTGCATAGTTAAAACAATATATTTTAACATGGTTTCTAATAATTACTATTTTATCTTATAATGTTATTATGTTAAATAATTTTAGTATTTAATCAATTATTCTACTTATATTACAATTAAAAAGTAATGCATTTTGTCAGTAAACTCTCTATAGTGGCTCTTGTATTTGTACCTTAACATAACCGCATACTTCACTCACCTGTCCATCGATTTGTTGCCTCTTTAGCTATTTCAGTTTGTTTCTTAATACTTTCCAGGACGTCAGGATCACTATCTTTATATTTCTGAATTTCTTCTTTGAGCTCTTCTTTCTCTTTTTCAGCTAAATTAAGTTCTTTCACTAACTTTGTTCGATTTTCCTTAAAAACAAAATATAATACACATGCTAGGCTTGATGCTAACTTTATAAAAAACTAGATGCCATTTCTCATTTTGCTTAGTGTTCAGGTGCATTATACCTATAATATCCTTACATCTTTTTGGTATCTTAAAGTCATATTAATTTAAAATTTGTGAAAATAGTACTTCTACTATTCTCATAGGTAAAGTACTTAGACTCCTCTAACTGTTGTCACATGTAGCTGTTAAAAATCAAACAGCAAACTGTTTTCATGAATATATTCTGAACTAATATTTACTTCAATCATTGAATACACCACTTGGAAACAAAAACACATGCTACAAACACAATTAACTACACATCAACAAAAACAGTATCTGATAATCACAGTTAACTAACAATTATTAAATATCAACTAAAGCAGCATGTAGACTGAACAAAAATCATTTGAAAGCCAATAGTTTATTAATGTTGAAACATAAAATAATTATTTGCTAAAATAGAGAACAGGTAAAACAAAACATATAATCATTTTTCTTTTTTTTTCACTGGTCCAGTTAGACAAGCAAAGGTTTGGAATTACTTGTCTTAATCAGACTTTCACTTATTCTAGGCAACCAATAACATCAAACCTTGTTACTTAATAACCACAAAGATAAAAACAATGAAGTATAAAAAAATACTTAGCTACTTAACACTTAGCAGTAAAGTAGCAATTACAAAATAGTTTTCATGTAAAAAGGGAGTGAACACAACATGGAAAGAATTGCAAATTGAAAAGCAAATCATGACCTAGGAAATGCAAACACAGGCTTTCTACTATTAAAAACATCTCCTCAATTTTTCTAGTGCCATCTAGACATGCGTAAGTAAGAACAAGCTTGTGGATTTCAGATGATGTACTAAAACAAAAGAAAGTTGATAATACACTCCCCACTCACAGAGTCTAGCATTTCAATGAAAAAACAATTCTCATAATTTGTGTTCATTAATCCGTTTTTTTCTTGCTACAAAACTGCTTTCTTGCAGCGTTTTTAAAATTTTTTTTACAAACTATTGCAATTTCAAAAATAAATATGGAACTAATATGCAACATATATATATATTATTAATACAATAATCTAACTTGTAATATTGTTCTTACTTTGGTAAATTATTTTAAATTATCTGGTACAAATGATTAAACATCTGGTACACATAACAATAACAGCTTAGTTTTACTTCCTCTTTAATTTTTCTTTAAAGGGTTTTATACTTTGTAACTTGTTGTAGGCCTATGTTTACAATCACACTACTTGCACTGCACTCACATTAAAATAAACTTACTTGTATAAAGTAATTCAATATGCACTGTATCTAACACAGATCCAAAAACAAAAATATAGTGACTGATTCATTTTACTGGCTACGAAACAACTCTTTATCTTCTTGATGCTTCACTGCTATCTTACTTAGCCAGTTGACTGGCTCACCCATAATTTAATCCTTGTTCTAGATATTTCATTGACCTTCCCAAAGCTTCTAAGACTAATTTTTTCATAATGTGATGTGCCCTCTAGCTAATATTTAAATTTAAATATTAAAAACATAGCTTATAACAATATCATGGCTCTCTAATTGTTAACTACAATTATATTTGTACACAGAATGTTTCTTGTAGTTTACTTGAAAATATAAAATCTTAAGAACTTACTGTATCTTCTCTACCAATTTGAGCTTTTGTCACTGCTTCATTAACAGATTTGAGCTTTTTCTTTGCTTCTTCAATCTGTTTTTTTAGATCTTCTAACTTTCTTTTTCTCTAAAAAGTGTAGAAGTAAAATTAGAGAGGAATTATTGAGAATAATTCAAAGAAACAGTTCATTTAGTTAGATTCATTCACAACATACTAAGAAAAGATATTTCCCATTCACAAATTTCATTTGTTAGCTGTCTGTATTGTGATTCACATTTAAAATATTGTACTTATAAATGTTTCTACACAAACAGCTTAATGTTTTTACAACATTTATCATTGTTTAAAACTGTTACTGTTATTGATGTATAAGTACTGTACTTTAAAACACTAGCAAGGTTTCAGAATTTTCCTGTAAAATATAGTAAGGGAAAAGCTTTCCTAACCAGAATATTCACCTACACAACACTGCCTGGGCTCATCAGTTGCTGGAAAATAAAAATGTAATTGAAAAATAATGTTTAACCACAATAGATTTCCCATATTGGTATGGTGAAAATGATCTGCTTTCTTACAAATCAAACATTTTCCTTCCTAACCAAGTTAAGTTTCACAAATAAATATACACAAGTTCTTAGGCCAAATTCTGGTCTCTTGAAGACGTATTCATTGCAAATCCCAAAAGTTATGTGATTCACAAAACAATCCTTGGATCTATCCATTTTCAATCATTTCCTTTTCTCTCTTTAGTGTTGGTGGGTGTGAATTTTATTATCAGTTTACTTCAAAAAACATTTTTCTTCATGACTCCTTTAATACAATTTCATGCATTTCAAATTTACATAAGCTCTGAGGTATGTACGAGTTTTTTTTTTCAGTTTAATGATTTGTCCTAGTGTTTTCACCAGGTGAATAAGCATAAGAACAAATGAAGTCGCTAAATAAAAAATAAATAGAATAGCCAATTTCTGTATAAATACAGTAAAATAGATGATGCTGAGAAAAGCTTTGAATAATTTTGACTAATCAAGTTTTATATGACAAACTGCAATAGTAATGGAACACAAAAAATGAACAGCTGAACCTCAACATGAGAAATTATTTTTTCATAATGAAGAAACAGAGTATTTCTTAGCTCTTCCTGTTTATCTTTAGTCTTCCTCAAGAGGATTGACTCTATAATCTAATGTCACCAGACATAGCTTTCCAAAATATAATTTTTTTAAAACAAACTCACGAATCGTTCTACAGCTTGCTCTTCTGATGCATCATTTTTATATATACATTTGGCTTTTTAGACATGGGAGTTTTATTTGATAACTGCCACATTTTATAAGTTTTTCTGCAGCTCATGATCAAATAGCTATAGTGGAAGCTTCTGATCATACTGGATTGTCAAGTGAATCATATTTCCTCCACACTTTACAGCTTGTGATCATGAATATCCCATTAAGTTGTAGTTGATTTCATTACAGTCAGTAGCAAGATCATTACACATTTTAATCACTCATCTCATGGTCATAAAAATTATTTAAATATAACTCCAAAGAAATGTATACAAGAAGTAAAGACAAGATGGAGATCAACATACTCTCTCTTTGAAATGTTTTGGAACAAAAGAGAACAATATGATTCTATGCTACTCACAACAACACCCAACCTAAACAATAATCAATGCTCTCTACTCATACGTTTTGAAAAATATTAAAATTTAAACAGAGTAATGTACACAAACACAAAACTTGTGTTACTGATAACTGAGTTTAATAATTTTGCAATCTTTGTTAAAAATATCCAACTTATTAGTGTTAATAGTACTCTACATTAATAAATTTATTAAACTTATAACAAACTACGTATTTCATTTTGTTACTTATAATTTCTATTTCTTAGTACCATATTTGCCCAAATGTAATGCACGCTTTTTTCCCCCCAACTACCTCCTGAAATATTTACTGCACATTGTATTCGTGCACGTTTAATTTTGTTAGGTAGTTTACTGAAAGCTACCACTGAAAATCATTAAAGCATTATTAAAGGTTTCAAAAAATGTTGCATATCCAATGCAATGGATGAGACAGACGATGACATACCGTGGGAATCAGAAGAGGATGAAGAAAAGGTTC